TATATATATATATATATATATATATATGTGGTATTTGGGTGGCTTTTACCTGCTTGAGAGCAGCAAGCAAAACCATATACTGTTAAAGCACTTCCTGAAATAATTTCCAAGGGTGATTTAATTATGGTTATTACTAAAGGGGTGGGTGTGGGTGGGTGGGTGTGCGAGAGAGAGAGAGAGAGAGCAAGCAAGAGAGAGAGAAAGAGAGAGCCTAGTAAAAGGAGGCCTTTGTGGGTCTTTATCTACTGAATGGTGTACAGTACATAGGATACTTGCAGTCAAATTTGTAAAAATTTTTTGCAATGAATTGATAATCTAGATTAGATTTAAATGTGATTTTTTTAAAGAAAAGAAAAAGAATTGGTTTTGCATTACATTTTGAAAAGAAAAAGAATTGGTTTTGCATTACATTATTACACACGTAATTCACAATATTTCAGACAAGAAACCAGGCCAGTAACACTCAAAAGACCGTAGCACTGGCATGTGTGTATAGATAGATGATAGATAGATAGATAGATAGATAGATAGATAGATAGATAGATAGATAGATATTAAAGGGCGGGGTTTTTTTTTGAATTCTGGAAAATGTGTCATCCGTTAAGTGCAGTTCAGGTCTTGTGTGTGAAAAGCACAAACCTTTTTTTTTTTCATTCTTTTTTTTATGTGCTGCGGTGTCTGCACTTTTTGAAATTGCATATTTATCAGCCTATGCATTATTTATGAGCTTGGAAAGAAGACCGGGGGGGGAGGAGTGGGAGGGATAGAAAGAGTGCAAAAACATATGCTTTGAAAGAGGAGTATTTTATACACACATAGTACGAAGCCTTTCTCAAGGATTACGCTAAGTAATTGATTGCTCCTTCCCTTGTACTTTTTTCCACTGAGTTGACTGGCCTTGTGATCCTTCCTTCCTTCCTTCCTTCCTTCCTTCCTTCCTTCCTTCCTTCATTGGCTGGGAAGGACTTAGATGATGTTTGCCACTGATACGCAATTCTCCTGCAGTGTCCAAAAGAAAAGGGTATTTAATAAATATTAATATTTCAACTGTCAGGTTGCATTCTTGTCAAGACGGTTCTGACAAACGGAGGATTAACGACATGTTTCATAAATTAGAAATGATCCCCTCTGCAGAATGTCCAAACCGAAGCTCAATAGTAGACCAACCAGCCTGGTTCCCTGACCCAGTTGAACATCTCATCTGCGTCAGATCTGCAGTCAGTCGTGTGGAGGAAAATAAGGCTCCTCATCATTCATTACCCCTTGCCATCTCGATTGTTTCTTCCTTGGGATGTGTGGGCTCCAAATTAGCAAGCTTGCCTCACATGCCACATCATTCGATTAGACAGTCACATCAAACATTTCTTTTCCCCCTTTCATTGCCTTCAGAAAAATTAAGGGAAATGGGAGAAAAAGAATTTCTACGTAAATATTTTCATTACTGGGGTCAGGCAGGAATTGACATAACAGAAGCTGAAATATAATGGAAAATAGGTGAAACAGAACATTTCCTAAATAATGAACTAAAGAAAGTAAGGGTTTGAATAAAACAATAAGTGAATATCCATTGACAGGGCTTTTGTGGTCGGTTAATACCTAGCCAAACAAAATTAGAATGTTGATGTTGATAGTAATAACTCTTATTATTATTACCCTGAAATATACTTGGTGCTTTACAAAAGGCTACCTCCTTTCCATAAGCTCCCATACCTTAAGGGCAAGACAAGAGGCTTAAAGTCTGGTTTGTTTTTTGAAAAAAGTATATTAAAATAAAGCCTGGGGTGTTTGTGTGTATTATGCTCAAATTCATAGGGAAACCAGAATGAATTTGTGCAAAGATCAAAGTTCTTCTTCGGTATGAAACAGTCAAACAAGTCAACGAAAATCCATTGACCGGTGTCTTTTTCTTCTATCTGTACCCAGATCATGTGCTACATGGAACTGGGCTACAGAGTGTATAAAAATGTTTAGCCTAATCATTCCCTAATGACAGTGACTTATGTCCTTAGTGCAGTTGATTTGTTTCCTGGGTTTTAAAAGTAGATTATTTCCATGGTGCAGGCTTAGTGTAAGCTGCTGAGAAACCACAAGCACTGCACTTCAGCCTGAGTTTGGGACATTCGCCAAGGGTAATCTGATTAAAAGGGCATTTAAACACACATACAGAGAGAGAGAGAGAGAGAGAGAGAGAGAGAGAGAGAGAGACGCACACATTCTGCTGCTTTGAAATGCTGGGCAGTGAGATAGAATGGGGCCAAAAAAATTGCTTTTTCAAGGCAAACCATTATGCCTGAGCAGAATTAAAAGCGTGATAAGCAGCATCACAGGAATGATTCTTTTTGACAGACTTGCAACTGGATAAACAAAGCATCTGTTACAGACCCACAAGCAAATCCGTGATCTATTTAATGCTGGTTTTGGTTGTTTGTTCTGCCTTTAATCATGTTTGATTACTGCATAGGTGTGAGGCACCGAGGCCTTGCTTTATCTGTAAGAATTCAAAATGCGTTCTTAAAAAAAAAATCCCACAAAATAACAAACAACTTGATGTGTACACACACACACACTAGGTTTTTTTTTAAAAAAATCTCTTCTGTGGCCTGACATTTACAAATGTTCTAGTATAAATGCAGTTGTTTGTGATGTGCATAGGGTACCATTTACCTGAGAAATTTAGCAGCTGTACATTGTACAAAGGTAATTATCCAATCTCAAATCTTAGGTGACTTATAAAGGGAGAGTGTGATATTAATTAAACATGTCATGTTTGCACACAGCATAATGTGCTGTCATTGGATCATTTTGCCTTATTGAACTACGTTTCCGTTCTCCTGAAAAATCTAAACGGCAAAAGAAAATCTTTCTGCTTTTCTTCACATTCCTGGAGTTCTGAGCATAGCAGATCACCTTGATCTCCACTAATAGTATGGCGTGTGTGTGTGCGAGAGAGAGAGAGAGAGAGAGAGAGAAAGAAGAGGATGTTTACATCAAAATGTCCCTGTAACACATAATCTGCTTCCATGTTCGTTCAGCCTTCAGAGCAGATCTTCTCGGTAGTGCGAGGCCCATGTATAGCAAGGAGAAAATGGGTCCCATTTGTTGTCTGCAAAACAGCCATCTTACCTACACCTTCTCCCCCAGTAGTGAATGAAGGGGTTCACTTTATTTGACATGCCATTGCTTCAGAGGACGGCACTATGAATGGAAAATGTGTCACTTTGTGTGTATATATATATATATATATATATATATATATATATATATTTCTTCCTAGTAATAGTAAATAACATAGCAGATTAAGGGAATTTGCCAAACTACCGAAATTGTTGCTTTTTCCAAACAAACCTCTGCATGCAGGATTGCGCCCAGAATTTGGCATTTATATTTTATGCATGGGCATAGGTCACAGTATTCATTGCATTAAGTCCCTTTAGCTCATGTAGATACATGCATCTTTGTGCTTTCCAGGAATACCATGACAACCTTTCTAAAGTGACAGTCCTATGATCAAATCATCTTTGCCTCTTCTTCTCCCCCCCTTCTACTCCCCCCTCCTTTCTGCATCTCTCTCCCTCTGTCTCCCTCCCTCTCCCTCTCTCCCTCTCTCTCTCTCTCTCTCTCTCTCTCTCTCATCTCTAAATTCACTCCAGCATACAGATCGGAATGTGGATTGATATCTCATATAAACATGTGTTTATTTAGAAATTGGGGAGAAAGCATAATCCTGTAATTGCGGGGAAGTCAGTTGGGGAAATCCACAGGCTGAATAGAATTGGTGGGATTCTGGGAAATGGCTCAAAATTGAAAGGAGAGGGTGAAGCATTAAGAGAACTGAAAGGAGACTTACCTAAAGCACTTGAGGTAGGGCTGGATCAAGGGAATGGGGCAATGCTGGGAAAGCATATTCTTCTGGGAGATGTAGGCTTGATAGAAATGAACTCAGAGACTTACTTGATCATCTGAAAGATCCCATTTCTATAATTATTTAAAAATATGAACCTACAAATATTAGAAAAATCAGTTCCAAGCTATACATATTCATCAGCCACATTTACAGAGAAAGGGGTTTAATTGTGTCCTAATCTTATTTAAATTGTTAACTATGAAAAATATATTGCTAGTTGGCTTTCTTGTATTTTTGATTTTCTTTTCCCTTCACTGCATGGAATAAAATGTTTGTTTTTGGAATTTGAAGGTCTGGAATTTGAAGCTTACATATTATTAAAAGCACGCCTTGGCCACCACATCTCAGTATCATTGCAGTGTTTTCACAAGATGCTCGGGTGTTTTCCTCTTGCGAGGGTTTATCATTCATATTTTCATTTACATTACGTTTGTGACTGCAATCCCTATTCAGAGTTAGCCTCATCCTGTTCATTTCACTAGGTTTAAATGTATAGGGTTGGGCTTGCATGAGTTTTGTTGTGGTATATAGGGCTCCTCCAGATGACCTACTCAGAAAATAATCCTGATTTTCTTGCATAAATCTTACACAGAGGTTAGACTGTGCATGTTCTTGTCTGAGCTTTTGTTCTGATTTGTTTGTGGGGAGGTTATACAACAGTGAACATTCATTCTAATTTGCTTGTAGGGTGTTTATACATCTTTCCATTAATCATTTATCCATCCCACACTTTTCAGTGCATTTCCTTGCCACTTTCCTAAGGATTAAGGGGGAAATTGTTGTGCTAGGGTAGCAGAGCACTTTAATCCACTTTAATTGCACACATATACCTTTCCATTATGCACTTGGATCCATCCTGCAATATACCGACAGTCTGAAGGAGACCATAGCCTGTCACCTCGAAAGGCATGAGATTTGTAGAAACAGCTGAAAATATGTTAAAAATAAAAAATAACCCTGTATAAAAATCCAGTTTCCAAACAGCAAAAAAATTAAGAATCCTGTGCCCTTAATTCTCTGCCTATTCCTTCTCTCTCAAAGTTGGAAGGGACCATGAGAGTTACCTAGTCCAACCCCCTGCAATGCAGAAACCTTTCACCCAATGTGGGGCTCAAACCCATGACTTTGAGATTAAGTCTCATGCTCTACCAACTGACACAAAGGGCCAGTCTGTCTGAAGGGCTGGTTTAAAAATATGGGAGAGCAGGTGCCTTGAAGCTCCCCATCAACAATAGACTGAGCCGGCCACCTTGCTGCATGATGGTGAGATAGACTGCATTCCTATTTACATCAGAATAATTATTTCTAAATTTGCATCTATACCTATACATTAGCATATGCTAGTTTTATGGAAACCTGTGTCTCCCTCTTTTTGTCCTTTCCGGTGATGCAATTCCTGTTTGGGGCCAATGTATAAGTGGCCAAATAGAGAATTGACAATGCTTCAAACAGAGGACTAACTAAAGTCAGACAGATCACCACCCCATATTAAGTGTTGGTGGGTTTTGGTTAGGAAATGGTGAGTGGAATAAGTTAACCCAGTGGTTCCCACAGTGGGTGGTGCAGCCCCCCTGGGGGTGGGAATACCAAGGGCAGGGTGAGGGGATAGCAGGGCCAGGCTGGATGTATAAATGACTATCAGACATTGAAAAGCTGATTTTAGTGAATCAAGTTCATCAGTTTTGTTGAATTAATTAAACTAAAGAGATTTAATTGGATTTTGAATAAATGTGCAATTAATTGTTACTGTCGTGAATTTTATTGTGCTATCATCTTCCTTGGTGAGTTATGCAGACCATTATTCTGAAAAATGCTTTTTGCAGGATAGGAAGCACCAGGGATGAGTTTATGGAACCAAAGGGGCAGTGGCCCAAAATGGTTTGAGAACCACTGAATTTGCCCTTATTTCCTTCCCAGGCACTGCAATCCTGATTCAAATCTCCTGCCCTCAGCTGTTCTTTGTTTAGAACAGGCATCCCCAAACTTGGCCCTCCAGCTGTTTTGGGACTACATTTCCCATCGTCCCTGACCACTGGTCCTGTTGGCTAGGGGTGATGGGCTTTGTAGTCCCAAAACAGTTGGAGGGCCAAGTTTGGGAGTGCCTGGTTTAGAAAGATCCTAGCCACATTTTAAAGCAGTTTGCATTAGTGGTTTTCCAATTCCCCTCTACGGTTCATTCTCGCCACAGCAAATGGTAAGGTAAGCTTCTGCTTATCTGGATGCAGCTGGTGCCAGGTGGCAGTGAGGTTGGGATCGTATGGGTGCACTAGCGAGACCAATCCAACACTCTCTGGTACACCCATATTGCCCTGGCTTTGATGCCTTCCAGTCCTAGCACTGGAATCAGCAACTATGCAGGGGTCAGGAGGGCAGCTCTGTCCCACCACTTGTGCTGTTACTGGAGGAAAGATGGAAAAGCAATTACAGTGGTGCCCCGCAAGACGAATGCCTCGCAAGACGGAAAACCCGCTAGACGAAAGGGTTTTCCGTTTTTGAGTTGCTTCGCAGGACGAATTTCCCTATGGGCTTGCTTCGCAAGACGAAAATGTCTTGCAAGTCTTGAGATTTTTTTCGCTTTCCCCCCCCTTAATCTAATCTGCTAAGCCTTTAATAGCCTTTAATAGCCTTTTAGCAGCTAATCCGCTAAGCCTTTAAGCCTTTAATAGCCACTAAACCGCTAATAGCGCTAATCCGTTAAGCCGCTAATAGGGTTGCTTCGCAAGACGAAAAAACCGCTAGACGAAGACTCTCGCGGAACGGATTAATTTCGTCTTGCGAGGCACCACTGTAATCCCCTAATGTGCCATTCTAAAGAAAACCGGTGCATCTCTCTCTCACTCTCTTTTTAAAAAAACCTTGATCCCATGACTGTTTGCAGTTAAAGTGATCTATTCCTACCTTATAGAGCTGTCTTGTATCATGGCACCAGAAAGTGGGCAAGTGCCCATATGTTGTCTAGACAACTCACAATGCTGTCACCAGAAGAGAGTGAGATTGACCTGTTCCCTAGGCCACAGGTGAGCACAAGGGAGATCAGGATCTACTGGGAGATCTCTAAATGATGTGAAGCACACCAAGAAGGCTTTCTGACTCCCAATTGTTTAGCAGTGACGAAAACAAAATGCCCCCAAAAATTAAACTGCTGAAATGAAGAAGGATGGGGGCGGAGGAAGGCCAGTTCTTGTACTTGGAACAAATTCAGTTTAGTTCAGTTACTCAAAAGCAAGTTCTGGACTCCAGCTTCTTTAATTCTAAAGGTGCTGGTTAGTGGTTCTTAGTAGTCTAGAAAAAGGCTTAAAGCCTGAAGTCTGCTCACCCGTACCTTCCAGCATTTCTCCATTGAAAATAGGGATGTCCTGAGGAAAAGTGGGACATTCTGGGATCAATCCGGGACTGTCCCTGGAAAAAAGGGACACTTGGAGGGTCTGCTCACCCCTGGCCTAGGCAATGGAGACATAGAAATGTGTTTCCTTCCGTGTGTGTGTGTATAATGGGTAAACTTCACTTAGCTCCATTCTTTCCACCCCAAAGTATCAATTAATCCAAACTGCCGTAGAAGCAAGCTGATTTGACTAAAGCCTAAAACTGAAAGCACATGAAACGAGATGCATCAGCATTTCTGAATATTGCTAATCCTTATTGCAAAATAATTTGACAAGGCCCTAGCAGGACAGAAACCAAGTGCATCCTGGGGATGCAGAATGCAGAAACTCCCTACCCAACCCTGTTTGATCAAGGGTTCCAATGCTTTTATGGAATTATCTCCATATCTGAATTTCTTCCTGGATTATGAGAGTACATAATTATGATTTGCACAGTTTGCTGTTTTCTGTTTACGTCTTTTTCCTTAGTTTTCATGCAGGTTACCAACCCTCATATAACTTTGATTAAAACACCACATGCATTTTTTAAATCTGTGTTCACATGAAGCTGTGCTCACCAGTAAGCTATAAAATGTTGGGGGAAGAGGTGAACAGGAAACTTAAGCAAACTGTATTTCAATTTCTGAAATTAATTTTAGGGTTCCCCACCCCTATTTTGGCCAGAACAGAGCCAAAGTAAACTTCATTCCATGGAGCAAAAAGTAGTTTAATGTTATAGTTGGGGCAAAATAACTGAGTTATTCTCACCACTTCCATTTTCACTGAAAATGTGATAAATAAACATAAAAATCAAATAAGAAGGAGTTTTTGTATAAGTCATGGATGTGGAACATTTCCCAGAGATTTCTTTTTGGGCAACCACTTTTCAGAGGACCAAGTTTCTTGCTGCACATGGTAGGAGGGGCCAGAGGCAAAAGTAGGCAGAGCAACAAATGTAAATTTTACCTTTGTACTGTAGGCTACTTTCTACACACACTCACAGAACCCTCTCTGTCCTCCATCCAGGCGAGCAAGAGGCTTGGCTGGAAGGACACATTCTAACCAGGAAGAAACACTCAAGAAGGGTGTGAAGTAGAGTCTGAGAGATGTGTGGCCTGGAGAGAGGGGTGTAGGCAGCCTTGGGAAAGGGGTGTGGCCTGGGGAGAGTCTCAAGGGCCTTATAGAGAGTTATGGAGGGCCACATTTAGCCTTGTGCCTAAGGCTCTCCAATTCTGTTCTAAGATAATGGAACAAGAGTTTAACTCACAGAAGGACCCCTTCAGACTTCATGGAAGGGCCTCTTCTGTAAGTGCAGGACAGCAGTGTCCCTCCATTCATTGAGCAAAAACACAGGACCCCCCCTCCCTGTGTCCCGATTTTCCAGGGAAAGTCTCAGCCTTACAGAAGCTGTTCCAATTTCTAATTTGATCCTGTACAGTCCTACTTTCCCATTTGATGTTCCTCTTTTCATTGGAGAAATGTTGGAAGGGATGGAATAGGGTGTCTCTATTTTTACCTGAGAAATGTTGGAGGAGATGAAAACAGTGAACAACAAGCCAATGTCCCCACAATGCCCTTTTTGTTGTATATAGTAGTTGATCTTCATGTGAGGAAAAACAGGATGAACGGCATCTCTATGAAATCTGTTTATCTATATGAACCAGTTGGTTCAACATCATTTTTAAGAGCACTGGAGTTTTCATCCTTAAATTTTAATTTTAACCTGAAAAATGGAATGTGTGGCTTTCCCTCCTTCTCTCTGTACCTTTATATTCTTTAGAAACGTAGTGTTGTATGTCTTAAAAAGAGATGTTCGTGTCAAAAAGATGACCTGCTGTTTGGGGAGGGAGGAGAGAAGAAATCATTAAAAGAGATTTCTCAATAATCAAGGACATCTGTGATCCTGTACTGCTTGCAAAAGCACAAAGGGCCTACTGCTCCCCTGCCAAAGTACAATGTCTGTGATCCCTCACCCCAAAGGGAAAATAAGGAGAGAAGGAGAAAATTATGTGACAGGAGATCAGCTGCTCTCTGCTTCTTTTTTTAAAAGCCCAGGTTGTTGCTATTTAACATATAACCCTCTGACCTTACTGCTGTGGCTGCTTTGAAACACCAAGCTATTTAATTATGCAAATTACAAACAGAGAAAAACATCAGAAGAATCTGCCTAGAAATTACCTCGTTTGACTGGAAATTAGTTGGCTTATTTGAACTTACAGGACGTTGCTTTTCAGTGTTGAATTCTGGCTTGGTGCGTTGGTCTATTTGCATTATCTTACATCTCTGTGGGACGCTGAAAAGTGTTAAGAATTAACGGCTGAAGTAATATCTCATCTATTATCCTTACGCCTAATTATTTTTAAAGATGTGTCCTGTAGTGGGCACTAATGAATGGAATTCTCCTCGAATCCTGGTGCACACAGAGCAAACAAACAATGCATATCCATTTCACTTGTCGGTGAAGGCAGCGGTGCTATTAAGCCAAGGTAGCTGTCAGCAATCTCAGGAGCTTGCCATTCAGAATTTCTCTCTCCAAATAAGCTAATTCTTTTGAATCTGACCAAAGTGGACCCGAGCTTCTGGAAGCTTTGTGCCACAGTGCATTTGGGAGCCTTTAAATCCTCCCTGTTGCTTTTGCTGGTCTTTCTGGTGGTTGGATGGTGGATATGATAAGATAATTGTGTGTATCTTTTGGACCCTGATGATGCCCTTCTATATTAAGGTATACAAAGGTATACACATCCATACTACTAAAGAGGAAACAATCTCTTTCCTGACTTCATTCACAGAGCCAGTGTGGTGTA